AAACAGCATGCACTAAGCAGAGAAGTAACTGTGCCATATGTGGAAAAATTAAATTACAAAAGCTACTTTGAGAGGAAAAACGATGATTCCTGTATATGTGGAAATCATTGAGGTTAGATGCAAATTGTAGCAAAGCAGTTTGTTATGTGCTAGCATTTTCTTGTGCTGCCTAATCTGCGTTGCTTTATCTGCTGTAGCTGTGTGCTAGCCTTGGCTTTCTACTGTGTCGGCTTTTTCAATCCCCTGCTACTGATTCTTCTTACACAGCTGCAGCAGCAACAGCAGGACTGAGGTGTTTTGGGTCTTACACACCTTACAGCTAATAGCAATATGTGCCAGTTTCCATACTGCATAATTGGTTTGGTGTGCTGTTTCTGAAAGCTGTAGTTAGATGCAAGCGTTAATGAATCTACTTAAATTACTAAACATGAAAAATAGGCTTGATGCTATGCGTGATGCAAATGCAAGAGCAGTTTCTCTTGCGTAAGATCTGAAGTAAGATCTACTAGATGCTGCGAAGATGGCCAGTTCCATACCTTAATTAACAGATTCAAAACAAGACAAAAACCTTCCCTTTGAGTGTGAGCTTTGCTTCTCTATCTCAAAGCCCTGATTTCAATCTCATTCATCTCAACAGGGGAGGCCATCTATTATTTGGGTATCTTTGATGAAAACCACAGAAAGGTGTCTGAGAGAGATTTTGGTGATAGCATAATCTGAACAAGAGGAGTTAACGTGTTGCTGAAATACACCAAGACATTGCAAGAACCTGTTCTCTGCCCAAGCTAACTTTAATTTTTGCTTCAGTTTACGACAGAAGATACTCCCCCTAGATTGTGTAGGTTTGAAAACAGGACTCAAAATAAACTTTTCCCATTAATAGCTGTACTTAGATTCCAACCTTGCAGCCAGGTTGCTTATGTATAATCATACTTGCATCATTCAGAGCTCTGTGATGTAAAGGTCTCATTTACAAATCTGTGTTGGAAGTTAAAGGTTTTATGTTATTAGTACACGAGGCTGGGTTAAACAGTAGGTGCAATGAAAGATGAAATTTTACAGGGTTTTTCCCCAAGCAATGCCAAAAGCTTTTATTTTGGTTAAAGTTTCTCTGTTCAGATTTGTAACAAATATTGCAGCAAATGTATTTTCAACTTGGAACAGGAATGGAGTGTAACAGGACATCTGAATGCATTAAATTTCTCATTGCAGTAATGATTTGAGACTCTTAACAAGTATCTCCTGAGGGATTAAAATTATTTCAGTAGTGAAATACTGAAATAATTCAGATACTGAATACTGAATTTATACAGTATTTACAAAATACTGAAATTACTCAGAGACTCAAGTTTGTGTAACTGCTGACACTTTCTTCCTGGGAGCTTTTTCTTCCTGGGACCACTTTTCAGAACTTTCCTATTTTCACTCTAATACTGTGACAATTGTATCCAGTGGTCTTTGCCCTTTGTAGAGGTTTGTTTTAACCTGAACTAGTTCTGTCACTTGAGTCCTGTTCCACTGTAAATCAGTCTCTTTACTTGGTTCCAGATCAAGTGTTTGGTTCCAATCTCACCAGCTTGTGTCAAAGAGAAAACAGCACGGTGCCAAAGTTCGTGAAGCTGTGCATTGAGCATGTTGAGGAACATGGTATGGTTGAAGTTTTTTGTTTCTGAATCTCTCTTGCTCACCAAACTATCTAATCTTGAATGTTTTAATCCTTAAAATGCTGTAGATTTATTGATGGATAATGTTTGATGCCCTGCAGCCAGTGACACTGATTGCTGTGTGAAGTTTATGCAGTTCTGGAGACAATCAGTGTCCACACGTTGACTCAATTGCTTTCATTGAAAATAAGCTCTCCTGGCTCATTAACTGAGAAATTTATATATTTGAAAGCTACATGTGACGTTCTGGGATGTCTGATGTAAAGGGCATCTTCACATTTTTGTTGAAGATATGTTGGTTGTGACTCCTGGCTGTAGTCTGTGCGTGCTGGTTTTCTAGCTTGTTTCTTGCTGTTGTCACTGCCCTATCTCTTGGAAAAGATGACTGAGAGGGGGTTGTGGAATCTCCATAATCGTCATTCAGATATATACCAGTCTGTTAATCTGAGAATCTGGGTAAGTGTTACAGGGGAATACTACATCTGAATTTTAAGGCATCTTCCATGGGAACTTCCTTTAGGATTTTGTTGTAGCCAGTAATCCTTTCTCAGTGCTGCTGTCTTATGGCCTGGGAGGGGAAAAGTGACTGCTTCCATACTGCCACTTTGCTTGTAACAGCAGTGTTGATGCCGTTTGTGATATGCAGTTTGAGAGAAAGGGGTTATTTTGCTTAGTTCTGGGTTATTTTTAATTTTTTTTTTATTTTAAAGGCAGGACTGCAGTGAAGATAGTGAAGTTTTCCTTTTTTAAATACCTGAGGGGAAGCTGACAGGAATGAACAGCTTTTTTTTCCCCACTTCTCCAACTCTTCTTCCTACTGCCAATACACTTCAAATCAGTTCTTTCTGTAAAGGAGTGACTAGTGGATTATGGGGAAAAGGGATATGTCAGATGGTGCTGGTCACTGTGCTGTGTTGCATCAGACAACTCCTTGAGGAGCTACAGGGACTGCAGGTATTCTGGCAGCACTCACCCTCTGTGGCACTGACTCACATGTGGCGTTTCAATTAAATTCTTTACTTCCTAATCACTTCTGAGTAACTGCAGTCGCAACCACAGAGACAGTTTTCTGGTTGAGGGTGCAACGCTGTAAAGGCAAGGGTTGCCCGTTTTAGTTTTGTAGGCTGTTGGGTAGAGCTGAGTGCGTGGAGAAGGAATGATGTGCATGCACAAACCTGGTCACTTGACAACTTTGAGATGCTCTCAATGCATGACTTGATCTGCCTTAACTGTACATTAGAACACACACAACATACTTAGTTCTTGCATGTGAGACTCCCATATACCCCCTGGCCAGTCACCAAGAGCATCTTAAGCGAGACACCTAGTCTCACTGGGGAAACTTGGAAGCTGTTGCCTCGTTACTACTGTTCTGCTGTGTAGGAAGCTTTAGAGATTCTGAACTTGACACTACCAAACCTGTGTCAGCAAACTAAACCACCCCCGACATGGCCTGCCCATCAACAAAGCTAGCGTAACTTTTTTTTTGTTGCTGTTGAACCAAGTGCTCCTTGTTATGAGGTGGGTTTCTTTTTGTTAATTTTGCTGAGTAGACCTATAAAGAAGCAGCCTAATGATGGCAGAATCCACACGTGTAAGGTACTAAAATGGATCTGTCCCTTTGTTTTAGGATTAGATATTGACGGCTTATACCGAGTTAGTGGCAATCTTGCGGTGATACAGAAGCTGAGATTCGCGGTCAATCATGGTAAGCTGCCTTCAACTGTATGAAGTTGCATATATTTCCAGGTGGTTGAAGTTTGTAGAAAGCTCAGGGGGGGGAAAAAAATTCTCAATGTATAACTGCAGTCTTCCATGAGAAATGATTGTCATCTTCAAAGTAAAATGGCTTGAAGATGTGGAATTTAGGGTGCAGTATGCATCATTTTGAAAACCTAGCATCCTGGAGGTTTGGTCTGATGTGGAGCATAGAGGTGTTGCTAGGACATAATTTTAAAGAAATGTGGTAATAGAATTATAGAGGGAGAGGATTATTTCAAACAAAATAACTTCATACCTTACAGAAAAGCCGTAAGCATATTAAGCTCCCACTAGCATTAAAATTGGTAGTGCTTTTTAGTGAGATTTGCTACTGCCTTTTGGCATGGAGGTGCCTAGCTCCTCTTTGCCATACTCTGCATATAAAACTCTTTGATGTGACTACGTCTTGGTGTTTGTTCAGTGGGAATCAAAAGGCAGCTCGCAACTAGGAGGAGGACAGTAGCCCATCTACAATCTGACCTCTCATTTCCTGATTGACAGGGTCTAACAGTAGATGTTGTGTTATGTTACCAGCTCCTGCTCCCCTCTGGAAAACGCTCTTGGTGTAGGGGAGCAGCATGTAGTACAGTAGGCAGAGTTTGGCTGTCTCTCTAGTGGTTGGGTGTTTGTATCCCCTTTTTGCACTGCTGCAGCTCCGTATCCCACAAGTATTCCTGAAGAGTAATTAAGCTTATTTTTTTCAAAAAGCTTCCATAGTTAAATTATAAACATCAATTATTAATTTTTTTCTCTCTCAGATGAGAAGCTAGACTTGAATGACAGTAAATGGGAAGATATACACGTCATCACAGGAGCTCTGAAGATGTTTTTCAGAGAATTGCCGGAGCCGCTGTTCACGTATAATCACTTCAATGACTTTGTCAATGCAATTAGTAAGTCTGGAAAACACACGTGTGCTCTCTGTGTAAATTCTGCTCCGTATGTACATTTCAAGGGATGTTTTGTTTACGAGTCAAGTCTGTGAGGCTTACCTGTTGTTGCTGGTCGGTAATGCTCAGTCCGGCCAGGAGGTGGTAGTATTTTATCTCATATTAGCACGGCAAAAGGCTCACTTTTATTCCCAGTCCGTTAAATTTTACGCGCAAGTCTTAAGCAGAAATACTGAATTTTTGTTTCTACGCCTCATCCTTTTGCAGAACAAGAACCAAGGCAGCGTGTCCATGCTGTTAAAGATTTAATCAAACAGTTGCCAAAACCGAATCAGGACACTATGCAGGTGCTCTTCAGGCACCTGAAGAGGTAAGTAGCGGAGAGAAGGAAAGGCTTTGTATTGCTGGTCCTCCCTTAAAGCTACACAATCCAATTAAAAGTACTAGGTGACTGTTCTCACTGCATTTTTCTTGCCTATTTTGGACTTGACAAAAACAATATATCAGTCTGTATTTATAGAGCCTTGCAGAGCACCCAGCAGACTCTAGACAGTGTGTGTCCTAGCTGTGCTGTTCACTGCCAAGTCCTTATGTTCGAGGGATTGTGAGGATCAGGAATAGCGTTTCAAAATGAAACTTTTCTGCACAGGGGGGAATCACAGAAGCGGTGTGTCATAACAACAAGACTACTCATTAAAAAAATGCTGTGGACAGTCATTTGGACTGTCTTTTTCTCCTGTCATTCTGTTGCTCTAACACTGATAGCTGTCTTTTTTGTCTGTGGTTTGGTGTTTTTTTTTTCTCTTTCAGAGTTGTAGAAAATGGAGAAAAGAACCGAATGACCTATCAAAGTGTAGCAATAGTTTTTGGTCCAACCTTATTAAAACCAGAGAAAGAGACTGGTAACATAGCGGTCCACACAGTATACCAGAATCAGATTGTAGAATTAATTCTACTGGAATTGAATTCCATCTTTGGACGCTGACGTTTTTCTTGGAGTAGAAACTGGAAGTGATGGGTTGGCAGAAGTACTCCGTCAGAAGGAAAATCTCTCGCTGTACATGGTGTATTATGTTTGTGGACCAAGCAGCAACTTGTTTTTTGCACTTTTGGGGAGGGGAGGAACAGGAGAAATGTTTGACCACTTTAATGCAAATTAAAGACAACACTTTGGATTTCTCTGAAAAGTTCAATGTAAAGCGAATTGAAAAGTTTATAGTTTGCTGTTTTTAAAGTAGCATTGGAAAAATGTAATATAGGTTCATACACTGGATTTCTTGGAGAGTAAAGCTAATAATCTCAAACTGGATAATCTGGAATTTAATCTTAAAAATCTTCCACTTGATAGGGAAAAGTCCTGCCATCCGGTATGGAAACATTCAATGAAGTTACATCTTAAGCTTGTGTGTTACAACCTACTCCCATCTGTATGAAACTTCTGCGGGGGGGTTCTGCATGCACTGACTGTCTTACTTGTGCTAACCGTTTGGTTTAGGTACTCAAATCTAATTCCTCAATTCATATCGGCTGTCCTTCCCCCCCCACCC